CAAAAAGAAAAAAGCCGGATATTGCACTGTGGCTCAAGTGGTAGAGTGCTAGCCTTGAGCTGAAGAGCTGAGGGACAGTGCCCAGGCCCAGAGTTCAGGCCCCACGACCAGACCCAAAAAACAACCTCTTGTTTTTTTTATTTATATTTCCTCTGTCTGACCAGAATATTTTGTTTATTGCCTTTCTACTTCGCAATAATGCTCAATAATCTATGCATAGAGTACATTAGCAAAGTGTAAGTATGCCCCAGGTTTCTTGAGACTGTAATTCTGCTCATCCCATTTCACACTTCTCAATTTTCTTTCATTCTCTTCTCCATTTACGTAAATCCTACCTATATTAAGAAATTCTGGTGCTGGGAAGTTGGCTCAGTGGTAGAGTGCTTGCCTTGCATGCATGAGACCCTGGGTTCAATTCCTCAGCACCACATAAGCAGAAAAAATAAAAAAGCCGGAAGTGGCACTGTGGCTCCAGTGGTAGGGCGCTAGCCTTGAGCTGAAGAGCTGAGTGGGAGTGCCCAGGCCCAGAGTTCAGCCCCACGACTGACAAATTAAAAAAAAAAAAAAAAAAAAAAGATTCTCTTACCCAGATTTGGGCAATTTACCACCCAATTTCAGTAAAGCACTTTGTTTTTCTATTTTTTTTTATTTCAGTTTTTATAGAAATAATTATTAACAATTGACCATTAACCTTTATTGCTAGTAATTCTACTAATTGCCAGAATTCTACAGAGAACAGAACCAATACTCTGTGTGTGTGTTGTGTGTGTGTGTGTATACAGATATAATAGTTAAGTATTTATTGCAAGAAATTGGCTCAGGCAAGTTTTGGAGTCTGGCAGATCCAGAGATGACAGGATGAGTTAACAAGCAGGAGAGCCAGTGGTGTTCATTCCAAAGCTAGCAGTCTTGAGATCCAAAAGAGCCAGTGTTTTAATTAGAAGGCAGGAAAAAAAAAAAAAAAAACTTGCTTCTGTTTGTAATTAAACGTGAGGAATTTTCTCTCACATGGATTTTACACTTCATTCTTGGGCTATAAATAAATGTATTGTGGAAAGAGAGTACTACTTGTATTTACTTATTTCCTGTGAGTTCTTTCATACTTAACATGTAATATTATATCTATTCTTTTAGAACACTATTATGCTTTGGAGCTAGAGGGGATTTTCGAAGTTACTTTGTTTTACAGTTCGGAGAGTTGGGCAACAGCTTTAAAATAAGAAGAGTAATAATAACTTCTCTTGGATGGTCGGAAGAATAAAAGGGAATTATATATATGTATATACTATAATAACTTTGCACAGTGCCTCATATAGTTAATGGCTCAACAGTTGTTTTGTACTAGAAAAGTTAAGTGATTTATTCATTAAACATTGTCTTTTGCTTAGGGGCAAGGATCCAAATAACATAATTCCCTTCTTTTTTTTTGTTGTTGTTGTGGGGCTTGAACTCTGGGTCTAGATGCTGTCCCTGAGCTCTTCAGCTCAAGGCAAATGCTCTACCACTTGAACCACAGCAGCACTTCTGGTTTTCTGGTGGTTAATTGAAGATAAGAGTCTCATGGACTTTCCTGCCTTGGCTAGCTTTGAACTGGGTCCTCAGATCTCAGCCTCCTGAGTAGCTAGGATTACAGGCATCAGCCATCAGCGCCTGGCTAGTAGCATAATTCTATAATGTGGAATATTAGTATTCCTGGGGCTTTCACCTTTTTTTTTTTTTTTGTCTGTCATGTGGCTTGAACTCTGGGTCTGGTCACTATCCCTGAGCTCTTTAGCTCAAGGCAAGCTCTTACCACTTGAGCCACAGCACCACTTCCAGTTTTCTGGTGGTTAACTAGAGATAAGAGTCTCATGGACTTTCCTGCCCAGGCTGGCTTTGAACCACGATCCACAGATCTCAGCCTCCTGAGTAGCTAGGCTTATAGGCCTGAGCCACTGACACCAGCTTCACCTCTTTCTTTATTCCTTTATTGTCTTTCTCTGTTCTTCCATCCCTCCCTCCTTGTCCTCTCTTTTTCCTCCTTTGTAATACTCAGTGTTGAATTCAATGCCTCATACTTGTGAGGTAGGCCCTCTACCACTTAAGCCAGCTCTTTTTGCTTTACTTTGTTTTATTCAGGCATGGCATACAATTTCCTATCCATGCTTCCCATGCAAATCCACAGGCTAGAGTCACCAGGCCCACCTATTGATGAAGATACGGGTCTCACTAACTTTTTGCCTGGCCTGGCCTCAGGTATTTTGTAACTCTCCTTTACAAAGTGTAAGCCAAGGATCTCAGCTCTTTCTCTTCTCATTTAAAAATGTACATAAGGCTGGGGCATAACGTAAGTGGTAGAATGCTACATAGGAAGCATTCTGCTTTCAAAATTTTAATACTGCCAAAAGAAGTGCATATGATTTATCATTCAGTCATTTATATTCACAAGTATTTTGTAAAAGTAATTAATTTGAGGTTACATTATTATTTCCTCAAAAGATATTACTTGACATTTAAAATTTACAGGTTCAGGGATGGGAAGGTGGCTCAGTGGTAGAGCGCTTGCCTTGCATGTCTGAGGCCCTGGGTTGGATTCCTCAACACCACATAAGCAAAAAGAAAAAAAGCTGGAAATGGCGCTGTGGCTTAAGTGGTAGAGCACTAGCCTTGAGCTGAAGAGCTGAGAGACAGTGCCCAGGCCCAGAGTTCAGGCCCCACGACTGGACCCAAAATAAATAAATAAATAAATAAAATAAAATTTACAGGTTCATAGAAAAGATTCTCTAATTAGATTCTCAAAGTCAGGCATCATAGCCAGTTAGCAGTTTTATTTTTGGGCATGAGTATCTTAAGGCTGTAGATTGAGGCTGTAGAAGCTGAGATTATAGTGTTTAACACTAGAATACTTTCATTTGCACCTTTTAAACCTTTTTTAAAATCTGCCATAAGAAATGAGTGTGTTTCCAAATGTTTTCATTCAATATTTTTTCCTTTGTAGAGTTCTTATAAGTATACCTTAAAGCCTTCAAGATGGTTCTAGCAGACCTTGGAAGAAAAATAACATCAGCCTTGCGCTCATTGAGCAATGCCACCATCATCAACGAGGAGGTATGGACATTATTATATGACATATATGTGATTAAGCATGGGGGAGCTGGATGATTAATGACCAGCCTATATTTATTTCATGTAGATTGAATATTGTGGAGAAGCCTAAATCTAGTAAGAAATCAACTATCATACCATTATTTTATATTTTACCTATCTGTAGAGCATTTAGAAAAATAACAAAAGAACAAAAATAATCTTAACTGGCATGTAAAAATAGAGCATTGGAAATCTAAAACTTCATTGCGCTTTTTGTTCCTTCTTTACTAGGTATGTGCTTATCTGATTTTTCTCTCTGGCTTTGTGTGTGTGTGTGCGCGCGCATGCGCGCGTGAGTGTGCGTGCACACGCCAGTCCTGGGCCTAGGCATTGTCCCTGAGCTTTTGTGCTCTAGTGCTCTGTCACTTGAGCCACAGTTCCATTTCTGGTTGCTTATGGTTAATTAGAGATAAGAGTCTCATAGACTTTCCCGCCCAGATTGGCTTTAAACCACAATGCTCAGATCTCAGTTTCCTAAGCAGCTACTATTTATTACAGGCTGAGCCACTAGCATTTGGCTTTCTCTGACTTCCCTTTAGCATGCCTCATGAAAAACTAGCTCTTTTATCTTCGTAATTTTGATTCATTTTCTCACAAATCTTGTGGGAAAATGCTTCAGGTTTTTTTTTGTTTTTGTTGTTGTTGTTTTGTTTTTTTGTTTCAGGTAAGATCTTGAGTTTTTGCTCATGGCTGGCCTTGCTGGAAATCTTTCTGCCAATAGAATTTCAAGTAGTGTGGATTACAGGCATGAGCCACCACACCTGGCTTATTGTGATAGGGTCTGACATTTTTTTGTCTGGGCCTGCCTCAAATTGTGATCATCCCAATCTCCACCTTCTGAATATCTGGAATTATAAGTGTGTACACCATACCTGGCATTCAAGTACTTTCTGACCTTGCATTTTGAAAACAATTCTATAGAATTTTTGTTTTTTGGGGGGGACAGTCCTGGGGCTTGAACTTAGGGCTTGGGCACTGTCCCCGAGCTTCTTTTTGTTCAAGGCTAGCACTCTACCACTTGAGCCACAGTGCCACTTCCGGCTTTTTCTGTGTATGTGGTACTGCGGAATCAAACCCAAGGTTTCATGCATGCTAGGCAAGCACTCTACCATAAGCTACATTCTCAGCCCAATTCTATACAATTTTATATCAACACTTTTAACAAACTAATGGAATCAAATCATTTTGAGACTATCTTAGAAATTACTTAGTCCAACCTCTCATTTAACAGAAATAAGAAGCTACTTTCACATGTTTATTTACTGTTTGACTTAGGAGTAGAATTCTTTTTCCTAATTTCTAATCAAGAGTTTTTCTAATAATTCTTTTTATTCCCTCAGCAAAGCAAATTTCTGTGCAGATGGATGCACTGTTGGCAAGCAAGCAATATTAAATAATAAATCATAATACAAATTATTGTTTAGTCTTATAGTCTAGAATAACAAAACAAGTTTTCCGGCAAGTATTCCTTGTTGTATAGCCCTTACTCTCTTTCATTTCTAGGAAAAAAGGTCCAGTGGTGACCTATGGCTTTAATCCAGCATTCAGAAAACTGAGATAGAAGGATAGTGAGTTTGAGGCCAGCTTGGGTTACATAGTGAGACCCTGCACATAGCGAGACCACTTCACACACAAAAAAGGAAATTTGAAAAGTGCTTTGTGGAAAGTAGAGGAATAGCTGTTTGTTGTTGTTATTGTTTTTTTTTTTGTGGGTTGTGCTCCTTGAACTCAGGGCCTGGGCATTGTCCCTCACCTCTTTTGCTCATGGCTAGTGCTGTACCACTTTGAGCCATAGCACCACTTCCAGTTTTCTGGTGGTTAATTGGAGGTAAGTCCTCCTTTGTTCTCACTGTGCAAATGCTTAGAGTGCTGTTTAATTAATCATCCAAGTGAACTTATTTTTAGTTTACTATCCAATGGATTAACTTGTAGATGTATAGAAATATTCTAGTTATTACAAATAAGGGAAACCATGCAGCCTATGTTTCTTTGGGTCTGGCTTACTTAGATCAATATAATTTTTTCCAAGCTTTTCTATTTCTTCATGAATGGGGCGATGTCATTCTTTCTGACAGAAGCATAGAATTCCATTGTGTATATATACCACATTTTCTTGATCCATTCATCCACTAGGGGCCTCTGGGTTGGTTCCATGTCTTAGCTATGGTAAATAATGCTGCAATAAACATAGTTGTGCTGGTAGCTTTAGTATACCCTTGTTTGTGATCGTTTGGGTAAATGCCCAAAAGTGGGATTGCTGGGTGATAAGGGAGCTATCTTTTTTTTTTTTTGGCCAGTCCTGGGGCTTGAATTCAGGGCCTGGGCACTGTCCCTGAGCTTCTTTTTGCTCAAGGCTAGCACTTTACCACTTGAGCCACAGTGCCAATTCTGGCTTTTTCTGTTTATATGGTACTAAGGAATCAAACCCAGGGCTCTACCACTAAGCCACATTCCCAACCCTATGTTTAGTCTTTTGGGGAACCTCTGTACTGCTTTCCAGAGTGGTTGAACAAGCTTACATTCCCACCAACAGGATACTAGTGTTCCCTTATGGCCACATCCCCACCAGCATCTGTTACTGTTAGTTTTCTTGATAGTGGCCATTCTAATAGGAGTGAGGTAGAATCTCAGTGTTGTTTTGATTTGCATTTCTTTTATGGTCAGAGATGTTGGATATTTCTTCATGTGTCTATTGGTCATTCTTCTTCTGAGAAGTCTCTTCTTAAGTCTTTAGCCCACTTATTAATAGGGTTGTTGTTTCTTTGAGGGTTTGTTTTGGGGGGTTAATTTTTTGAACCCTAAGTACATTTTAGATGTGAGGCTCTTCTGACACATAACTATAGTAAAGATCTCCCGTTCTGTAGGCTTTCTATTTCTCTTGTTAGCTATGTCCTTTACCATGCAGAAACTCTTCAGTATGATACAATCCCATTTATTCATTCTTTCTTTGATTTGTTGTGATTCTGGATCTTAGGAAGTTTCAACCTCTGCCAAGGAGCCTTAGTGTTTCTCTATCCTTTCCTATACTATTTTCAGGGTATCTGGTCTTACATTGAGGTCTTCAATCCATTTAGAATTGATTCTGGTGCAGGGTGATATATAAGAATCTAACTTCAGTTTTCTGCATATGGATAGCCAACTCTGCCAGCACCAATTGTTGAAGAGATTGTATTTCTTCCATCCTGTGTTTTTGGCTCCCTTATCAAAGATTAGCCAGGTGTAGGCTAGCGGATTCATTTCTGGGTCTTAGATCTATTCCATTGGTCCTCTAGATCCACTGAGGAGCGTCTTGTGCCAGTATCAAGCTGTTTTTATTACTATGGCTTTGTAATAAAGTTTGAAATTTGGTATTTATATTCCTCCAACACTGTTCTTCCTGCTGAGGATGTTTTGGCTATTCCAGGTCTTCTCTTGTTTCTTATGAATTTTTGGATTGCTTTTTCTATATCATTGAAGAATGTTGTTGGGATTTTGATAGGTTTTTGCACTGAATTTGTAGATAGCTTTGGGCAGTGTTGTCATTTTCATGATGTTAATCATCCCATTCTAGGAGCATAGGAGGTTTTTCTAGTTCCTTAAATCTTCCTTTTTCAGTTTTCATCATAGAGGTCCTTCACATCTTTGGCTAATTTCTAGATTTGTTTTTTTTTTGTGGGTTTTTTGGGCTATTACAAAAGGAGTTGCTTTCCTGATTTCAGCCTTGCTCTTCTCATTGTTGCCATATAGAAAAGCTACTGATTTTTTTGTATGTTTGTTAATTTTTTTTTAAAATTTTATTTTATTTTATTTGTGAACATACTGTACAGAGGGGTTACAATTGCATGGGCAGGATAATGCGTACATTTCTTACCAAGCATTGCA